ATTAGAAAAAGAAGTTCACCAATTTTGAGGTCTAGTTTTTTTTTGTTTGTTTTAATTTTTTTTTTACTTTTATTACATATACAGTGTTCTGTCTGCATATCTGACTACATGCCAGAAGAGGGCACCAGATCTCACGACAGATGGTTGTGAGCCACCATGTGGTTGCTGGGAATTGAACTCAGGACCTCTGGAAGAACAGTCAGTGTTCTTAACCTCTGAGCCATCTCTCTAGACCCTTGAGTTCTATTTTTATGTGACTTGTATACAGCGATCCATACATCCCAGATCATAAAGGAGTTAAAGTCAAGGCAAGATTGAGAATGCAAGATTATCAAACCCTAGAGGAATTGGGAGGCATCTCAAGGGCACAGTCTAAAAAAGGAATGAAGTAGACAGTTGGGGATTCAGACACTTTACCTGATTGAACTTTGGTAGGAGTAGTCCAGGAAATACAGACTTAAAGTCTAGTGTATATAGACATTGCCCTGTGGTTCAAAGGATATGCCCATGTGGCAGATGGGAATTTGGAACGTTAGATACTGGCCTTCTTGTGTGAACTGGCAAAACATGCTCTGCTGCATATTTCTCACAGGTTCTATGGGGAATTAATTCCCAAACAGGAGGAACTCTCAGCACAGTCTGTCTATCTTATGACTTAAAACTTAGCTTTTTCCTTTATTTTATGTGTATGGGTGTTTTATCTGCATACATGTCTGTGTACCACATTTGTGTAGTGCCCTTGTAGGCCAGAAGAGGCTGGGGATCCTCTAGGACTAGCCTTAACAGATTGTCATTATGTCATTAGACAGTGCAGCACTGGGAAGAGAGAGAATCCTGGGGGCCCTCTGGTTAGTCAGGCTAGCCAACTTGTCAAGTTCCAGTAGGTTCATCAACAGACCCTGTCTCAAAATATGTAATATAATATATAATATATGGTATGTACCTGGAGAGGTGGCTCAAAGGTTAGGAGCACTTTTAGAAAATATTTAAAAATATTTTTGCCAGGCAGTGGTGGTGCTCATCTTTAATCCTAACGCTTGGGAGGCAGAGGCAGGTAAATCTCTGTGAGTTTGAGGCCATCCTGATCTATAAGAGCTAGTTCTATGACATCCGAGGCTACACAGAGAAACCCGTCACAAATGTGTGTGTGTGTATGTATGTATGTATACACACACACACACACACACACACACTCTCTCTCTCTCTCTCACAGGTGTTTTGCCTCTATGTCTGTGTACCATGTGCATGCAATTCCTATAGTGGCCAGAAGAGGGCATTGGATTCCCCAGGACTGGAGTTAACAAATAGTTGTGAACCACCATGTGGGTACTTTGCATCTAACCCTGGTCTTGTGACTTGTGGAAGAATAACCATTGCTCTGAACTGCTGAGCCATCTGAGCTAGGTCTCAGATTATTTATGGTGGCATAAGCCTTTAATCTCAACACTTGGGAGACTAAGGCAGGCAGATTTTTGTGAGTTCAAGGCCAGCCTGGTCCATATAGCTTGTTCTAAGCCACCAGGGCTATATATACAGTGAGACCCTCCCTTCCCAGTCTCAAAATAAAAATAATAATAATAATTTGAGTTCTCATTTTGAAACTCTGGCTTGGAACTTGTTATATAAATCAGGATGAACTACAAGTTTTGGCTATCCTTTCTTTGTTTCTGGAAGACTGGGATTCCAGGTATACACTGTCATTATACAGATAATGAGAATACTGAAGTCCACACTCTGACTTAAGGCTCCCTAAAGTCTTCCAATCAAAACTTCTGATCACGCGGATGTTGTCTTTTACTAGTCAGTTTATTAGCGTAGCTCCCCTTCTGTGATGTTTTGTTGTCCTGAGATCTTACTCTGTAGCCAGAGTAGCCTCAAACTTGCCTCTTGCCTCTGCCTCCCCAGAGCTGGAATTATAGGCATTTCATCATGCCTAGCTCTACATGTGATCTTGACATTGAGACTATTCTTTTGAAAAGTGGAAGCAGGACCACGCCAGAGAGATGAAGTCACAGTACAACAAAGGCCTTCTTAGATGACTCTTCACAGTGGCTAGTTCCTATGTCTGTGGTAGTGACTTCTAGACCCACCCATTGGCTAGGAGTGGCACACAACAAAAGTTTTCTAAGAAACTTGTGGAGTGTTTTAGGTATATCTTGGTGTGTGTGTGCCTGCGTGTGCATGTGTGCGTGTACACTCATGTGTGCATGTATGACTTGCCACACATGTAGCTGCTTCCTTGCATGCATATTGCTGGCTGTATGCAATGACAGGTCTATGCAAGTGGACTTGTGTATACAGATGTGTGCATTTTTGCACATCTGTTTTGGATAGCAGGTTTGTGGTGATGCCGGAGTTTGCTACTTGCTAATGCCTGTCTTCTGGAAAGTGAGAAGATGATTCTCTAGTCTCCAGGCATCACCATCCTCTGGAAGGTGAGATGCTGTGTGTATGTTATATGTTCATCAGGGAAAGCTGGGCCTAATAACTCACACTTGCAATCCCAGCATTTGGGAGGTGAGGCAGGAGTAAGGTTTTTCCCTCGCTGGCCTGGTCCCACTGCTGCGCCAGCCCCAAATAATACATAGAGACTCTGTATTAGATGTAAAGCTGTTGATCAGTTACTAGTTTCTTATCAGCTGACTCTGTCTTAAATATTAACCCATTTCTATTAATCTAAGTACTTGCACATGGTCTTATCTTATTGGAGAGAGGGGCTGGTGTTCTACTCTCTCCGTCCTCCATCTTGAATCTCCTCCCTCCTACTTCCGGAATCCTCCTTGTCTCCTAGTCCCACCTATCTTGCTTTCCTATTGGCCAACAGTGCTTTATTCATTAACCAATAAGAGAAACATATTTACAGAATGACATCTCCCATCACAGGAGGATTGCTACAAATTTGAGGCCAGCTTGGGCTACATAGTGAGTTCCAAGCCAGGCTAGGTTATAGTGTGAGACGTGTCTCAACAACATGGCACAGAACACAAGAGCCTGTACTTCTCTCATCAAGGACCTGAGTTTGTGTCCTAGCACTTATGTATGTCTGGTGGCTCACAACTGCTTATAACTCCAGCTCCAGGGTAATCTGATGCCTCTGGCCTCAGGGGGCACCTGCTCTCACACGTACATACACTCAGATATGCATGAATATACATAGCTAAAAAAAACGTAAGCCTAATCCTTAGCTACAACAGCTCCTCAGTGAGAGGATAGTCTGCTTAGTTTCCTCCCATGACAGCACAGTTCTGGGTTCTGGTAAGTTCCAGTCCCTTCCTAGAAAGTGGGTTTCCTAACAGATAAATCAGGTAGTTTTTCAAAAACCTTCCAAGTGAGGGCCAGCAAGGTAACTCAAGAGGTAAAGGTAATGCCCCCACATTTGCCCTCCAATTTCCGCCCCTGCAGCCCCTGCGGGGAAGAGGAGAACAGTCCCTGCAGGTTGTTCTCGCCCTCCACACATGCTCTGTAATCACTTGCACCCAGGCACACACATATAATTTCTTGTTTTGTTTTAATTAAAATGAAAAAATTCCTGTCAGGCGGTGGCACATACTTTTTAATTCCAGCACTGGGGAGGCAGAGGCAGGTGGATCTCTGTGAGTTCTATATGAACGTGGTCTACAGAGCTAGAGTTCCAGAACAGCCAGGACTACACAGAGCAACCCTGCCTTGAAACACCACTCCCACACCCCGCAAAAAAAAAAAAAAAAAAAAAAAACAAATAACCCAAAACTTCTCTATGTGGGGGACTGGAAAGATTCAGTCCCAGATACTGGTGTCAGGCACTCATGAGTGCCTGTAACCCCAGCTCCAGGTGTCCAGTGTCCTCTTTTAGCCCCTGTAGACACATACGCATGCAAACACACACTCATAATCACACACATAAACAAAAAAGTAAATGTCTAAAAAAAAAAAAAAAAAAAACACCATGTGAACTTGTCAACAATTGCTCTAAGCCACATGCCCTGCCAGCTGAAAGTAAAGGAAGTCAGCTGTTTCTTCCGTTGGTACCTTTCATATAAATGTTTCCCTCAGGGATCCATGCTGTAAAACTAAAAAGGAGAGATAATCCAAATCCAGTTTTCAAGATAGTCATTGTTGACATTCACTTAATAACGTATACCATGACCATAAAAATACACATCTGTATCTTCAATTCTAACAGCTCTGGAGTAGTGACGCAATGGCAGAACCGTTCCAGAGTTGTGCTACTGTAAAAAGTACCTGTCGATCTCCATCATGTGTGTGGGGAGGTGTGATGTGTGTGGGAGTGGATGTCGTCGTGGGTGAGGAGGTAGGGGCATGTGGTATGGTATGGTATGCATGTATTGTTGTGCTCACCCATGAGGTATGTGTGGAGGCCAGAAGTTGACACTGAGATGTCTTCCCGGTCACCTCTCCACTGGTTTTATGTAGACATAAACTCCAAGTTTGCTGTTTCAACCAACCTGACTCAAAACCCTGGGACCCATCTGCTTCTGCTGTCTAAAAACCCGGAGTTCCAGGTGCATGCCGCTGTGTGCAGCTTTGACATTAGTGTTAGGGACATGACCTCAGGTCCTTGTGCCTGTCTTATGTAGTAAGCCATCTCCCAGCCTCATACATCAGAGGCTGACCTGGAAGCCACCATACAGTCAAGGCTGGCCATGAGCTCTTGCTCTTCCTCACACACTCACAGCTCCAGGGTCACAGGCATGTGCCACCCAGACTTCCATCTTCAGACTTTTGGTCCAGTTCCTCCTTTAGAAAAAGTTCTTGAGCTGGGTGGTGGTGGCACATGCCTTTAACCCCAGCACTTGGAAGGCAGAAGCAGAGGCAGGTGGATCTCTGAGTTCAAGGCCAGCCTGATCTATACAGCAAGTTCCAGGACATCCAGGGTTACACAGAGAAACTCTGACTCAAAAAAAAAAAGCAAAAGTTCTTCTGCTAGAATTGCTTCATCAGAACTTGTGACACTGACAGCTCTGACACATGCTCCTTCCCAGCACCCAGCTGTTGAGTGCTGCTCCTTCTGGGGCCTCCTCACTGCATATTTGTCCCCTCTCCTTCCTAATCAGTGTTGGCTCTTTCAATTCTAGGTGTGTCTGACACTGCAGAGGAGCATCTGCCTCTGTCCTACATGTGCCTCAGCGAATGTCATGGCCTGGGAGTGCCCTGCCCAGCCGTTCTCACCTGCAAAGCCAGACTTAATATGGCAAGTACAGGATGCCAAGCCCACAGCTACCCCAGGAGGACATCAGCCTGGCCCCCCTGTCTGCACTGAGCAGCTGCCTCTGGTGAGTGTCCCAGGCCCTGCCTGTTTGGGGACAGACAGGACTCCTAGAAAGGACCCCGGGTGATGGGTTTGTAGAGTCATCAGCATTTCCTTGGCTTAGCTAAATCAGCTACCCTGAGGTGAGTGGAAGCTCTGGAATCACAGTTGGCAAACTACAGCTTGTGGGCTGTGTTGCCTGGAATGCCTGCTGTGTGGATAAAGCTGTAGTGGGACACAGCCACTGCTGTCATTGCTGTTTCTTTACTACACTGTCAGGACTAAGTAGCTCAGATATGGCCTGCATGATCCCCTGTCTAAAAAATTGCTGCCTGGCCCACGTTTTTTAGTGAGTGGGCAGCAGGGGATGCTAAAACCTGGAGTGTGTTTAGGGAGATGAGCTCCTCCCTAGCAACTGGAATTGCCTATCACATCTTTCCCCCTTGAACTCACCAGCAGACTTCCCAACCAGGGCTGCAGCACAGGGAACCCCTGTACCCGCTCACATTTTTAGGGTATCAGTAGATGAAAGTGATCCAAGAACCATCTAAATGGCTTCATCGCCATGATCCAGCTGCCTTGCCTGAGCTCATAGCTGAGCCTGGAGTCTGTGCAAAACCTTCATTTCAGCTCTGCCTCACCGGACGTTAGTCTTCTCACCGCCCCACCTTTCCCTCAGAACACACAAATGAGACTCGCTCAGTACCAGGGAGAAGTGTTCATCCTGTTGGTGAGGCTTGGCTTCCTCTTGCTCTGACTCTAGCTTCTAGGGAAGAAAGTGGGACTCATCACAAGTTAAGACTCAAGGAAACTGGGTCAAGGTCTTTAGGCAGTGGGAGGCACGACACAGGCAGGACTGCATATCTCTCACGGCTACTGAGTCGTTGTTCCCAGTCCCGGTCTAAGCACTGGGCTCACTTTACATCATGGACCCTGCAGAGCCTGCACAACAGATAGAGTGCTAAGCCCTGGGCCTCTGGGGAGGCTGTGTGCTGCTGAGCAAATGCCTCTGACAGCTTGCCTTCTTCACCCCAGATCCCTGAGCCAAGCAGAAGGGAACTGTTGACAGCCTGAAGGGCTGACCGACTGAGAGGCTCAGAGACCACCAGCTCTGCTTCCAGCTCACCAGCAAGATGTGGACAGCCCTGGTGCTGGTTTGGATTTCCTCCATGCCCTTATCTAGAAGCCATACGGTGTCTGAGGAGCCACGTAAGTTGAGAAAGTTGTATGAGCACCAGGAAGGCCCACAGGAACTTGAGCCTAGAAGAGAGGCAGCTACAAATCCCTACTTCCCAGCTGCAGGTCTGGGCTGTCAGTCAGGGCTGGGGTAGAGGGACCACACGTGGGAGCCCCAGTGGGAACAAGCAGCAAGACCTGCAGCTTGCCCTGTCTTCTCACATTCATTTCTTGGCACATCAGTGTTAACTGTACTCTTGCCTTGCTGGGCTCTTTTTATCCCTGAGAATTCCTTCAGACAAGCCTATCCTTGAGGCAAGGCTAATTAGAATTTAATGTCTGTGCAGTCATTCCTGTGTGTACAGGGGCTGAGGTTTGTTTTGTTTTCATTGGCTAATCATATAATATGAGCTTTCTGACCTGATGCTCTAGGGATTGGATCCAGGTGCACAGTTCTGAAGCCTCCACAGTCTGGAGCCTCAGAATGGGCAAAGGAGTCCTTAATTGGTGCTGTCATGGGCTCTGGGCAGCTGTTGTCAGCTGTGGAGGGGAGAAGAGGAGGTATTGGATTCACATGTCACTTCCATCAACATCCAGGGCTCTGATTAGAGAATACGGTGCCATCCAGCCAGCACAGGGGCCAGGACTAAGGTGACAGCATGGGACCCCTACATGTGGTTGAAAGTATTCTGTCTCTTTGTCCCCTTCTGGCTTTAGTCACGACCAAGATGTGGCCTACAGCAGCAAAGCAAAGTGAGCCTAGGAACACAAGTCCAACAGCTGACAATAAACCAACCGGGAGAACAGCCACAGTGTTGCCTACTCCTGTCACATCGACCACAGGGACCTGGACAACCAGCCTGAACTCTACCAAAGTGACAGCAGAGGTGACAACACATCAGACAAACATGAGCATTCCAACAACCAGAGAGGCCACTACAGACAGCGTGACCTCCCCCACTCTCGCGTCACCTACATTGTCAAGCCCCTCACCTATGGGGAAGACTCTACCCATCACCACTGCTGGGCGTTCCTCTCTCAGCACACCACGTGCAGAAGTGCCAAGTACAAATGCCAGCACATCACCAAGAATAGCCACAGTGGCCCCACATACCACAACTATTGCTGTAGGCACCATGAACACAAGCGGTCCCACAAGTACGCTGAGTTCTGCCAGAAGCACACCTACTGACTCATCCGCCATGAACACCGTACCCACCTCAGGTTCCCAGACACAAGGTACCACCATCCAGGTGACAACAGAACAGCCAGTGCAAAGCACAGCAGGTAGATCAACACCTCGTCCTTCCAGTGCCACCCTGGAGCCCACCACCACCCGCCCTGCTGTAGTGACCACCACCCAGATACAAACCAAGGAGCCAACTGCCAGCACGGTGCCAGTGTCTTCTACCAACCCAACCCCTGAAGTGGGAGCCACATCCCCCACTACACAGCCAAGCCCCACGTTGTCTACGCAGGGGCCAGGTGGGCCAGGCACACCCCTGACAACAGAGCGGGCAGAGACCAAAGCCACAGCTGGTACTGCCTCTGCTGGGCCAACACCCAGGAGCTCCGGGGGCCCTAAGGTGCCAACCACAGACTCGTGTCAGCTCAGCACCCAAGGCCAGTACCTGGTGGTCACCACGGAACCCCTTACCCCATCCTTGGTGAACAAAATGTTGCTTTTGGTGGTGCTCGTTCTTGGGGTGACCCTCTTCATCGCCATCCTGGTGATGTTTGCCCTGCAAGCCTATGAGAGCTACAAGAAGAAGGACTACACGCAGGTAGACTACCTGATCAATGGCATGTACGCTGACTCAGACATGTGAGGGCCCCTGGAGGCCGGCCTTCACCATGGCCTTCTATTTTGCCTCAGACCAAACCAAGTGCTTCCAGATCCTTTTGGTGCAATCTCAGAACTGTGCCAGATGCTTAGACACACTTAATTGCTATCAGATCAACTCCATGATCACAAGAGAGCTGCCTTTTCATATTTATTTTTCTAAACGATCACATATGCAGGAGTGGCCAAGGTCGAGGGGGCCTGGCCTGCTTAGCTCTCGATGTGTGAAATCTTGACCAGAATTAAAAGCAGTAACAAATCTCCATCTGGCTTTTGTGGGTCTGTGTGTCCTGCCCTCACTCAGTCACTCTTAGTACAGCCTTTGTGATGCTGGGGGGGCGAGGGGCAGCTTGCTTTTGTATGGAGTGTGACATGAGTCCCTGGAGGGCCACTGTGTGCAGGCTACTGCTTTGGAGTCCTTCTGATGTCCAAGTGCTCAACAGAGGCTGCAGCCAAGTCCCGAGCTGTTCCTTGGTGCTGACAATTGGCTACTTGGCCTCTCAGGAGCTGAGCCCCTTGGAACCCAACCTGGGTATGAATGAGCCAAATCCAACCCAATACATAGAAGAGCCAGCTTGGCCTCTGCACACCCTACCAGAGCATTAACTACCCTGCTCAGTCACAGAGGTGGGGATAGTCAGTCCAAGGACAGTGATGCTGAATCTCTTGCTGCCAGTCAGAAGCTCAGAGCCTTCTCAACAGGGTATTTCTGGATTCCAGGCCCTTGTCATGAGCAGCAGTCAGAGGCAGTATTGCCCAGTTTGTCACAGTCCAGCCACCATCCTCATGTGGTTGAGCACTTACCCCAACAGATGAGCATTCCAAGTCTCATGTTAGTGACCATGGAGGCTCAGTAGCATCTCATTCATCAAGGGTCAGAGTTAGGATAAAGCCTACTTATGTTCTGGTTTAGATATGTGTTGTGGGAGGGGGTGAGAAGATGCAGCACCAACAACCCAGGCACCCAGAGTCAGTGAGTGGCAGAACGTGCTGCTGACTTGTTTATTCAGGAAGTTGGGCCTGCCTTTATATCCCTCCCAAGGTCCTATTGGCTCAGGCGGCTGACTCTGCTGTATGTCCTTTCCTCATTGGTGTCTCTGTGCGTCCCTGGGCTTTGAGGCAGGCTTGACAGCTTGGCTTGGGGAGGAGGTGCCTGGTGCACCTGTGCATGTGGGCTGGCCTGGGCACTGGGGACAGGGCCACTGTGGCTTGGGTAGGCTGGGATGGAACCCAGGCCTTTTTGTATGTTAGGTAGACATTCCTCCGAGCCGTATCCCAGCCCTGACCCCTAGTCCTAGAGTCCCAGTTCTTTCTTCAGCTACCTCTCTCTATCCACATGCCCAGTATAGCAAGAGCATACGAGCCTCGTGGTCTATGGCTACTATCCCAATCTAGGGTCAGCTATAGAATGAATGTTCTGGAGCTTGACTTCATCTAGGCGACAACGTCTGTTCATACTGGCAGCATGGTGACTGACATGGAGAGAAGAGGTGGCTGGTACAGAAGGGATGACAGGCATCCTGTAATAAAGGATAAAGTAAACCTTTGGGCCATTTGCAGAATTGTACAGGGTGAGGGAGGGGATTAGAATTATCACATAGCTCTTGTGGCTTCCAGCCTTCCTTATCTGGTGTTAAAGTTGGGCCTGTCCTGCTCCCCCACCCACTTCCCTGAGTCATACAGTCTGTACTGATAGCTGGCCCTTTTCCCGCCCTGGCTGACACACCTGACCTGAGTGCATGTTTAATCATAGGTGTTGGCTCCAGCCATAACTGCAAAGGTGGCTGGTTCCAGCCTCTGGTTTGGCTGCCTCGCCGACCTGAGCTCCAAGCCAGTTTACAACATCACATGTCTGAGAAACTACCTACTGTTAGGAACACAGCCCTGGGTGGGGCCTGTCAGGGTCTTTGAGCATGATTTTGGCTCAGCTTCTGTAGGATGAGGGGTGGTCTCCTGTAGCATGAATAATAAATGACTAAGAGACTGATATTGGGGTTTAAACTTCAATTTAAAGGTCAGAAAAGCAAAGTAGCAGGCCACTAGCTCTTACCACTACCTCAGGCTGAATGGGCTGATCCTGCTGACTCTTCTCAGCGTGGCTGGAGAATCCCAAGACCGAATGTCTTTCTATCCTGTGTGGCTGGAGAATCAACCCTGATACTGACTGCTGATGACCCTGCTCCTATCTTTTATAACCCTCTAGTGCTGGGATTAAAGGCGTGAGATCCCAGGTGCTGAGATCATCTTTGTGTGAGCTGTTTCTCTTTAGGACTGGATCAATCTTGTGTAGATTTGGGTGGCCTTGGACTCAGATATCCATCTATCTCTTAACCCTGAGTCCTAGGATTAAAGGCCTATACTGCCACTGCCTAGTTTCTGGCTGGGATTAATGGTGAGCCTGGCTTCTATGGCTTGTGGCTGACATTGCTTTCTGAATCCTCAGGCAAGCTTTAATAAATCATAAATAATGAACCACAAGCTCCCCCTCATCCCCCTCGTGGTTAATGGATTTTTTTTTTTTTTTTTTTTTTTTTTGTGGTTTTCCAGATAGGGTTTCTTTGCATATAGCCTTGGTTGTCCTGGAACTCACTCTGTAGACCATACTGACCTGGAACTCTGCTGGGATTAAAAGCAGGTGCCACCACTTTGGACCCTCGTGGGCCACGGCGCGTTCTCAAAAACTGGGAGCCCTAATGTTTCGGGGTGTGGGGAGGCATGTGGATCGAAGTGAGAGTCAGTTTACCGTACAGAAAGGAAACAAGAAACATACGTTGCCTATTCAAGGTCACCCACCAGGCATGTGGCAGGCCGAGATTCAAAAACCACCTGCAGAACAACGTTGTGCATTGAGGTGGCCGGGGAGAGAAGGTTTCATTTTCAGGGCGACGCGAACCCAGGCCTGAGGGCATTAAGAGTCACCTGGGTCCAGTCGGACCTGGGACGGCCAGACCTGGAATGGCCCTGGTTGCGATGGCAGAGGTCCCCTGGTGCCCCCTGGCGGCCGAGGTTTTTACCGCCTCCGCCCACGGCTGTGTCCACCCGCCTCGCCAATTTAGACCCACAAAGTCACTGCAGTTGACCCTGACTCTGGCCCTAAGAGGCGCCCCTGGATGCCCACACTGGAATACTCATTCTCGAGAGTGCTTTTAGGCCTAGAGGGTCCCGTCCCCACTTGGGACCAGCATGTGCTTCAGGGGATGACGTCATGTGTGCCTGAAACTCCTCCTTCTAGGGATCCTTGAGTTCTGGGAGCCCGGAACACTTCAACAGGTTGACCCTGCTCTTCTGCCCCATAAGCAGCCAGCTTTGGGGGTCATGTGGAGCAAGACACGCGAAGCATCCTTGTATCGCTACTCTGCTAACAGCTCATGCCTGTGAACGCTTACTTTGTGGCGGGCTAGGATAGCCCTCTGCTGCTGTCTTATTCCTTATCTCAGAGGACTGTCTTCCTGCTTCCCTCTCTCCACCCCACCCCATCCTACAACCCCCCCCCCCCCCCGCTCATCCTCCACTTAGAAGCCAGGGGGATATTTTTAAAACAGAACTCAGATCTTAATGCTCAGTATCCTAGGCTGGCCTCCCACTGGGACTAGAGGATGGAGGTGGGGGGAGGTAAGCACTTGGATTAGAAATAAACACGGCCAGAGGGGAGTGTTAAGACAAGACAAGCCAGGGAAATGGGGACCTGCCCGTGTTGAACCTTCAAAAATGACACAAGGCTGGTGAGTGTGGGGAGAAGAGGCAGTCAGGACCGGGACTAGTAACTACAGCAAGGTGAGAAACATGTCCTCGGAGATTTAAGCATAGAAGTAATGTGGTTAGGGTTAGATTTTAAACAGATACTTAATTGCACTTTTGTGTTTACAGTGACACTGAAGTTACTTTAAACAGCCTAAGGGTGACAAGACAAGATGGCTCAGTGTGTAAGGCTGCTTGTACTCAAGCCAGAACAACTGAGTTTGATCCCCACAACCCTGATTGTCCTCTGACTGCCATATAAGCACTGTGCACATGTACACACATCACACAAAATAAATAAATGAATGAATGAAATACAATTTTAAAAAAGATTAAAGAGAAATGAGAAAGAGGTGAAGGAGAGACACAACCTGATACACTGTCCCCTCCAAGACCAAAGACAGGGGAAGGGCCAGTTTCTAGTCCCGTGTGTGTGTGTGTGTGTGTGTGTGTGTGTGTGTGTGAATTTCTATGATGAAAAGTTAGAAGAAAAAGGGAAGGAGGGGAAGGAAGGGTGGAGTCCTAACTTCAAGCTCTAAGTATAAGATCCTTCTGGTTGCCACAGGGAGGAGCTATAGGAAGCTGTTGGGTCATCCCAGGAGCCAGGACTTGGACCAGTTCAGTCCCCAGAGAGAAGCCAGGGAACTCGGAGACTTTGGAGGCTGAGCCCATACACATCCACTAGTTCTACTTTGTATTCCTCCTCTTTCTTCTCCCCTCCCTCCCTCCGTCAACCCAGGCCTGGCACATGGTAGGTAAGGACTGTACTACTGACCTATACTTCACTGACTCCTGCTATTTTAGTTTTGTTGGATTTTTATTTTTTTACACTTATTTTTAATTTTGTGAATGTTTTGCCTGCATATATGTATGTGTACTTCATGCATGCCTGATGCCAGTGCAGGCCAAAAGATGGGGCTGGATGCCCTGGAACTGGGATTACAAACAGTTGTGAGCTACTGCTTCCTCTACAAGAGCAGAAAGTTCTCTTAACCACTGAGCCATCTCTCTAGCCCTGTTTTATATGAGTGCTGTTTTTATGAAACCTGGGTAGCCTTGAAATTTTTTTCTTTTTTATTTTCTTTTCTTTTTTTTTGTTTTGTTTTGTTTTGTTTTGTTTGTTTTTGAGAGGATCTCATTATGTCACTCTGACTGACCTGGAACTTGCTATATATTGCTATATTGACCAGGATGGACTTGAACTCACAAAGATCTCCCTGCCTCTGCCTCAAAGTGCTGGAATTAAAGGCCTGTGCCATTATGCCCAGCTGGCCTTGAAGTTTTGATCCTCCTTCCTCAGCCTCCTGAATGCCAGGAGTGATTACAGGACTATGCTAGTATGTCCAACTTCTAGCTTCTCGGGGGGAAGGACATAAGCCTAGGTGGCATTGATGCCAAGCCATAGGCCAAGCTTCTGTCACCTCTAGGGGAGGAGCTGGTCGTGAAGCCCAGGTGGGCTGATGCCAGTCTCCGAGCTAGGCTCTAAGACACAAAGTTGCCCAGTGGAATCTGGGGATTGTAGGGGAT